TTTGGACAATCAACAACTACACAGGATCAAAGCCAACTTCATGGCAATTGCAGGTATGCCCGGTGTGGTCGGTGCTATTGACGGGACGCACATAAAAATAATTGCGCCATCAAAAGATGAGGACGTGTTCGTCAATAGAAAGAAAGTACATTCCATCAACACGCAGATTGTTTTCATTCATCATGATAGGGGGACTTGAACGGCGGTATGGGCTGTTATTGAAAGTGTTTAAGTGCTGGAAATATGCTCATTGGATAATAGTTTGCAGGGTGCTTTTAATTGCCCCCTTGATTTAATGCAATTTACGTATTTTTATTGTTTGCTCTCTCTCTTTAACGTGCATATACAACGTCATTATCGTGGTCTACACAAACTTGTCATCATGCGTGTATTCTGCTAACTGCACTGTCCATAACTATTTGATAGGAATACATTTCTAGCCTAGGCTATTTCCTTGTTTTTCGGTGATTTAGTGGGCTCGTTTGTGGGATGTTGCGGATGAGTTTCACTGAGACCGCCTGCTCTGAACAACCAATCACCGTACTGACCGCTTCTAAACTCATGCACGAGAATCGACGTAATCCATAGCAACGGCGCGTCACTGTTAGTTCACTCTTAGTGATTTATCCTTAGTATGAGTAGGTCCCAGCGGCTTTGTGAATAACTTTTAAGAAAAAACTCCTACGTAAAATGTTTTAGCGCGAGTTAGGAGCACTCCTAGCGGTAAGATAAAATGCTTTGTGAATACGGCCCCTGATCAATAGGAGGCTGGCAGTTACTGTTAACTAGTGTCATGTAATTACAGAGAGCTAGATGAGACGAGATACCACTCTAATGCCTGTACAATAAATGTGAAACCGGAGCCGTCAGAAGGTTAGCCTAGCTTAGCATAAAGACTGGAAACAGAGGCAACAGCTTCTAAAAAGAAAATGTGCTGTTCTATTTTTGTTTTTATTTATTTAAAGTATGTCTTTGAGTTAGAGTTAGAGGCAGATTCTTTGATACTTACCGTTAGAGCTATGTTAGCTTTTACAAGGATTTATGCTAAGCTAGGCTAAATGGCTGACGGTAGCTCAACCTAAAAGGAATCTTTCCTTTTTTAATTTAATAGACAAAGACAGAGAGAAAAACAGAAGGAGAGGGGTAGAGAGGCACATAAGACGTTGAGAAAGTGAAAAATTATGTTAAAGAACATTTTGCGTAATTAGAGATGAGATCACGAGAAAGAAGACCAAAGGAAAATAAGGGACAAAAGCATAATTTGAGGAACAGGTTTATGAGGTAAAAGACAGCTGGACAAAGAAAGAAAGATAGATCAAAGAGACACCACACAGAGATATATTTTTTAAAAAGGACTGCCCCCTCCTAGCAGCGTAATGGCCATGTCACATCAGCTCTGGATGAGTGGCAGGCCACACGGGCCCCATCGCTGGGAGAACCTGGGTCCTGGGCAAAGAGGCCCGGCCATCTGAGTTCTTTGCCCAGGGGGAGGTGAGTGTGATGGGGCTACTGTCCTGGCTGCTCCTCCTCCTCTGTGTCCGCTCTTATCAGCGATATTGACGGTGATGTGCTCTGAAGTCTGAGGGCCAGACTGGCATATGAGCTGGCTAAAGACCAACTGCCCTCTTTGCTTTTGGCCTTTTTGAGTCCGTGCTTCAAATTGGCTGTCAAACGTGTGCATGAAAGACGACTGCGGTGTGGCTGGGAGTGTGTTTCTGTTGAAATGATATAACCAACATTGGCTAGAGAAATATCCACAGATTTCATCTCCTTATTGGACTCAATGCCCTTTGCCTTGTCCCTTTAAAACACGCTCTTTTCTTTTTACTGAAGGTTAAACTTGTATTTGTCATTCAAATATATCAATATATTGTCTAAGATTTCATCACACAAGCCCCAACACACACACACACACACACACACACTCACACAGGTCTCCGTCCCTGATCGATGGTCCGGTGCCAGAATACTGATCCCTATCGACCAATGAAATTGTTCACAGACAGCGTTTCCAATCAATCAGGGAGCGATAGTGGGGAAACGGGCGCCACTCACGTCCCCGTGGTGATTGTAAAGAGCAGTGGATCCTGATAACAATCACCGATGGTGTCAAAAACACAAACGCCCCCCCCCCTCCTCCCCCTGCTCTGTAAAATCATCTGTTTAATTACAGTAAACGTGCATGTGAGTGTGTGTATGCAGGTTTAAGCGGGGGACGTGAGCAGGTTTAATCATGCTCCTGTGGGGTGTAATTGTCAATCAAGTTGGGTATGTCCCACAGAGTGTAATTAAATGTACCCCCTATTCACTCCCTCTGTCCTTTGTTATGCCCTTTGCAATATGGTCTTCTAATGCAGCAGTCGGTATGATCATTCATATTATTTTACCGAATACAATCTATTATTTAAGCTGCAAACAGTCAGACATAAATAGTTTAGGTAGATGCAGTAGGTTGAGGGAATTTGGATACAACACAAGAAGTAGTTTAGCCAACATCTCTTAAGGATTATACCGGGGATCAAATAATTTCCATTATTAAATTGGGCGATTTGCGAGAGATAGAAGAATTTGTGCAGCAGAGGCTAAAATATCCTGAACTATAGTCCCTGTTATCTTCAAAAATATATTCTACAATTACCATAAGCAACTTATCCACATTTTCATTAGACCGTAAATGATTATGTAATTGAAAATGCCTTTTAATAGTAGGATTTGGTCCTAATATGTGTAGTCCCATGCCCAGCAACAAACGTTATTGGTACATAACTTTATTAGTAAACTGACATAATATGTCATACAAATTTATAATATGCGTCCCTATGTGGAGTGTCCCTTTTTAAAATCTCCCTTTCTCTTGTCTCTCCAGGCTTCCCCTCCCTGTCTCTGGCTGACCAGATGAGTCTGCTGCAGAGCGGCTGGATGGAGATTCTGATCCTTCGAGTGGTGTTTCGCTCGCTGGCCTTGGAGGACAAGCTGGTGTACGCCGAGGATTACATCATGGACGAGGAGCAGTCGAAGCTCGCGGGGCTGCTCGACCTCAACAACGCCATCCTGCAGCTGGTGAAGAAGTATAAAGCCATGGGGCTGGAGAAGGAGGAGTTTGTGGTCCTCAAAGCTATCGCACTCGCTAACTCAGGTAAGGTTACTTACTCATTTGTCAATACAGAAATTAGGCCCATGTTTAGCCATTATAGCATTTTGCTTCCATGGAAGGTTGGTTGGGCCTTCACATTTTGTGGACTATTGGATTGATTGTCATGAACTTATGTAAAGACATTCATGGTCCAAAGAGGATGAATCCTAAGAATCCAAAAGCTTGTTTTTATTTTGAAAATAAAAAGTAGATAACATTTAAATCCTTGACATACCTTAATTCCTGACTTCCCTCTTTTCCTTACAGACTCCATTCAGATTGAGGACTTGGAAGCAGTTCAGAGACTCCAGGACGTCCTTCACGGGGCCCTTCAGGACTACGAGGCCACCCACCGCCTGGAGGACCCTCGGCGGGCCGGGAAGCTAATCATGACCCTCCCTCTCCTCCGTCAGACAGCCGCTCGCGCTGTCCAGCACTTCTGCAGCATCAAACAGGACGGCCGTGTGCCCATGCACAAACTGTTCCTCGAACTGCTGGAGGCCAAGGCCTGACCCCAACTCAGACTACCCCAAGCTGCTTCCTGACCCCCCGCAGTGGGTAACAGGAAGTGAAAGATAACGGGTAATGGTGGGGTTTGACACCATGTATTTGTCCATTTCAGCTTTGACTTAAAGTTTTGATTCTGCAATCGGCAGGAAGTATGTTTTATAGGCAGGCAGACGAGACATTTTAGAGCAAAATCCTTCCAACTCCCAATGAAAGTTTGAATGAATTGGTTTAATTGTCTCGACAACCAGGACATTTTCATTGTTGCTGTTTGCGCTGACCTGCTACGAAAAAGTCTAAAAGCGGAGAGACAGCATTAGAGCAGAAGAAAGCACGTTCTAGAGATATTTATATCAACATGCCAAACGTAGAGCTTCTTTTGTCAAAAGACCCATGATACTTGAAGATCCTGATGGATTATTTCATCCATCTTGAAGCCTGTTAATCTGCATTCTAGTGCATTTAGAGAGCCTTTTGATGATTTGATTTTGTTTTGTCCTTTTGAAGAGTCAAGGTCAATGTGTCCTAAGAGGTAAGTCTTGCCAAAGAGTAAAGACTCGTACTATTAATACCAGCATTGGTCCACAATAATATAATGTGGCCTGTAAGACATTCACATAAACATGTATTCCTGCTGTGTTGTGTATAGCAAATTATCTAACCACTACATTCATATATAAACAATTAAAGGGAAGCTATAAAGTGGTCGGCATCTCTTATAACAATAAGCGGCGTCCTTATTTTAGTAGAAATGTTCAGGGAAAGAGTACTTAATGATACTAATACAATTGTTTGACAGCAAAGTGTTATTTATTTAAAAGTGGCTCTGTTGGTTTGCTGTTTATTTTTATTTCCTAATGTGGCATTAACAAAGAGTAGATTTAAGACATTACAGTGGATAATACTTTTTTAAAAAGATTTTTAAATGATATCATTGTAAAATAATTTTTTACTAGCTTCTCTGCTACAGCACTGATGTACCATATAATTTCTTCGAGGCAACATGATTATAATTGGAGAACGTACTTGAAGATCATAATGTCGTAGAGTTGATGTAAACACGTAGATTAAAATGTAACTATGTAAAATGGCTGCCACACTGTATAATCTGGATTAGCGAGGCATTTGATGTCCTTTCTACGGTAGAAGTCTATGTGTAGGATGAAATTTGTGCACTACTTTAGCCATAAAGTCTGGGGAAACTGGTGATGGCGCTCTGTAAATCTGTGTTTTGTGTGAAGAGTAGTTATATCTAAAACTTGTCTTTTTTTCCGCACATGATAAATGAAGGGAATAAACTGGGTAGGAAACGCAGTACAATGAATAAAGGTCTTGCTCCTTAAGGTACTGTGACACTATAACGTGCATATTTTTGTGACAAGATGACGGCAGCAGTATGCCGGATTAAATGTATGTACTGTACGTTTCGCTGTATATACGTCATGTCTTATGCCAACAGAGATGTTTAAAGATGCAAATAAGCTTGGTTTGGATGAGCTGTGCCGTGCTATTTCATTCTCAGGTGGATTCTTGGGCAATAAACATGATCCCCTTAATGCAAAGCTCATGTCATAAGTGTCGTCTTATTCAATAAAGAGAAGAAAGGCTCATTTATTAAGAGCTGGTAAGGGGGTGCAGTCTATTTTCACAGTCTGACAATGGACAGTCATTTCCAAGTCAGAACCGTAATGGCACATTTAGGCCATCATAGCCCAGTTGGATGGAGATTTATAATTAACAGCTATAATGTAATGAAGTCTAACAGTGGCTCCGAGGGGTACCGGTCATCTCAGGCCTGTTCAGTCTGATGAAGCAGAGGCAGTCCACTCATCGCTTCATCATACAATTATACAACGTCCCTCTCAGCATTTATTTAGATTTATAGGTCAAAAGTAAGTCTTGGCCCGCTTTGATTCAAATCCCCTTGTTTAGCCTTTATAATCAGTAGACATACACTTAATAAATATAATTAGTAAGCACTGCAGATACAAGGATATTTTTTTGCTTAAAAGTCCCATATTGTAAAAAGTGAGCAGGAGTAGGTTTTTATACAAATGGATCAGAACAAAAAGAGAGAGAATCTATTTTACTGAAACTTTCAGAATCTCTTAACACAGAGGGGACACATATTAATTTATAAAAAGTGGATTCTGAATGATAGGTCAATCAATCAATCAATCAATCAATCAATCAATCAATCAACCAATGTTTATTTATATAGCCCAATATCACAAATGTTACATTTGTCTCAGTGGACTTCACAGTTTGTACAGAATATCAGTATGACAATACGACACCCTCTGTCCTTAGACCCTCACATCCTACAAGGAAAAACTTCCAGAGAAAACCCACAGTTTAAAGGGAAAAATGGG